CCGCCAAGTCTTGGACTACTCTTTTATCAACGAATAGTGGAATTGACCATAACATTATAACGTTCCCACGGCTGAAAGGGCAAACATGTTTGGTGGTACGGGGATTACGAACCTGCGACCCCAATATTGCGAATCAAGAGCCCTAATCACCTGGCCATGCCGGGCCACTTTACACTTCTTAAATATATATTTTTGTCGTTGAATGTGAATTTCTCAGACGGCATGACGTTTCACCTTATTGCGATTGGATGTTTGGTGTGGACATTTAAGAATCATTAGTTTGTTTTTTGGTGCATTGCTACACAATGAGCTATCTGCTCTGTCCACCGCGGGAAATGGAACCTTGGACTTCATTGTTGTAAATAATTAGTACTAAAGAGATTCTAGCTTTTAATGGAAAGCCTCCCCACCCAGTCGCTCAGCAGTACGTCTATGGACTTATACGGTAAAAAACGGATTTCGATACTTGTGTTGGGCACAGTTTATATAGCCCATTGTGTAGCTTTGTGCTTAACTGTAAACAACGAAATGAAACAGAAAATAAAATTGAATAGCAAGCAATATATAACCATGCTTAAATTTAAAATGAATATTTTTTACAAGTAATAACAAAATGCGTCTGTTTGTTTGAAGTTAAGCACAAAGCTGCACAATGGGCTATCTGTGATCTGCCCACCGCAAGTATCGAAACGTTACAAGAAAATTAGATAACTTAACGTCTTACATACAAAAAGAGTATTTAAAAAATAATTGATAAAAGTTTTTGTTTTGGTTGATGCTAAGCATAAAGCTACACAATGGGCTACCTGCGCTGTATCGAAACCCGATTTTTAGCGCATTAAGCCCGCAGACTTAGTGCTGATCCACTGGCGGGGGGGGGGATTCTACACGTAACTTGTGACAACAGTGTCATGCAGTAAGAAGACCACTTCGTGCACTGTACCTGAAATCATTAATGCTTAGATTACCCTATACGACATTAAAATCGAGAACTTTAAATAAAAAAGGGAAGAACTGACTCTGTAAAACCGCTCGATTTCTATCTGATTTTATAATTACTGCAATAAAGAACCATTTCTGAAGTAACTGCCAAAAAATTATATCATAAATGAGGATCCAGTGTTTGCCACTAAAGTCATTTATTATCAGATCATGTATCAAAATAGTGACTACTGTTTAGAGAAAATGTATTTTTAGTTACAACTAGCTTGTGACTGAATTCTTACTTTCAAGCAAACACACCACACCCTATAACATATAGCTTTAGTAACTGATCGATGACAACCAACATTGATCGAACAGAAAGTGTACACCATGTTCTGGTTATCTTCCTCGTACTTGAGAGGTATTAGACGTGCTATTTACCTTTATCAAATATCAAAGAAAAGAACACTTTTAAAGCCAACCAAGTTGATGAATATTTCTCCCAATAAAGTGGCCTTCTTTAAAAAATTATATCTAAGGTATTTTCTTTATGAAGTTATTAACACAAGTTTGGCAGCTTTTCTTTCTAGCGATGAAGTTATATGTCGAAGGCGTAGTAGCTTTCATTAGCAAATAATACATTAAATATGGTAGCATTGTTTATAAAGAACATTTAAGGAGCAAGATCTTTCTTTTTGAGATATAAAAACAAGCTCAACCATTTTCTTTATAGGTGCAGTAGCTTTCCTAAGTAAGTAACGAGACACTTGCAGTAGCTTTCCTAAGAAAGTAATGAGACACTTGCAGTAACTTTTTGTAAGAAATAATGTTCGAATCGCAATATATATTGGAATTCATGACCCAGATGCTGTAACCTTTCTTGACAAATTATTCATAAAATGTTTAATCGACGTTTTGACTAAATAAATACGTGCAATAGTGTTCTTTAGAAAATAATACCCCAGGCGCAGAAGATTTCCTTGAGATGTAATATCCTTCGTGCATGACTTTCCCGTAAGTTAGTATTTGGTGGAATGATACCCCAGGTGCAGAAAATTTCCTTGAGATATAATGCCTCTCATGCGTTACTTTCTTCATAACTTAATGGTTTCGGCAAAATAATTTCCCTGATCCAAAAGTATGTATTTTTAATTTTTATTAGAACAAAATATGAGACGCATGTTTTCTATACCCTTAAATAATAAAATAAAACGTTTTTTTTTAATGGATGAAAATTTTACTGCGCGTTTGAATCACATAAATTGAAGCAACCAACCTCCTCTAAACTCTGAATAACAATAAAAGTAATTATGAAATTTTAGAAACTACAATACTTTGCACATACCCGAAAATTATCTCAGAAAAGTTACATTTAATAAATACCCGCATGAGGAATAGAAATACAAGCATATTTTACGTTGTGCATATACTGCATATAAGCTACCCTTCGCCAGCCGTCTCCATACTCTCCTAAGTCTTCGGAAAGCAAGCACCCAGTATTAATTACCCTTCTAAGTTCTTTCCATGGCCCTGCTTATATTCGGCTCTGGATAACTTACACTCACTCGCACATAAACGTAGGAATAAGTATTGATCTATTTTCTTACCTGTCAATAAAACCAAGGGTAGCACCACACGGAAAAGACACGAGCAGACCAACGTGTTCACCATGTTACCATGGTAATAACGACTTAGGGGAAGAACCTATATAAAAGAATAACAAAACATAAGAATAGTCTTAGTTTAGACAGTTCATGACCTTTGTAATAGAATAGCAAACAATATAGTTGGAAAAACTGTATAAATGTAAATATTTTAACTTATTTCAGAAACGGCTTCTTCTGAAACCTGCTTTCAGTGTCGGCTTTCACTTCAACACACACGCGCGCGCACGCGCACACATATACATAGTACTGTGCAAACTCATTATAACATCTAATTAGTTTGTAGTTTAAAATCTTGAATAAAAACATTAAAAAAGCAAATTATTATTATTTCTTTACTTTATCTAACTCTAATTAATATGCTATACAGTTAATTAATTTAAAATTTGTTTGTTTTAATGAGCTATGTGTGCTCTGTCTACAACGAGTATTGAAAACCGTTTTTTTTTTGCGTTATAAACCTTCAAACCTACCGCTGTGCCCCTGGGGGACAAGAGGAAAACGTAACATATTCAGTATATTAGACACAAATGATTAAATGCTTGTTTGTTTGTATTTAAGCACAAAGCTACACAAAGGGTTATCTGTGGTCTGCCCACCACGGGTATCGAAACCCGGTTTCTAGCGTCGTAAATCTGGAAACATCCCGCTGTGCCACTTGGGGGCTATTAAATGCAGTAGATTTTTTTAAAGTTTGTCAAACATATCTAAATATTAATACACATGATTACCGCTAGTCTCTGTATCACCTATGAATTAGAAAAAATTGAGATTTTCACATTCTGGGTTTTTCATGCAGGTATATATGGGTTATATAAGGGTGATTTTTTTTCTTCAAAAAACATCGTCCAGTACTGCTAATATAGTGTGGTGTTACCATTAAATTATGAAAAGATAGAGCGAAGTAACAAATTTTAGAAGAGTCAGAGCCAAATCTTTATTTGATGCTGAGTGCAGTTTAATAAAGTTTGTAAAAGACCTCGGCTGTTCACCAAGTACTTGTAATGCATACGTTAAAAATCCACTCATATTACATTAGACAAGGCAGTAGACATACAAATAAGTTCATTGAAATAGATGTCAGATGGCTAACAATCAGACTCCTGAAAAATTGAAAGAAATATTCAAAAAACCTTGTTAACAACATTCTCACGAACACTGCATAATTGCGAATCTTGGGGAAGAGTAACAATAAGAAAGTCATTGCTGCATAAAAAAGAATACAGCAAAGAGACTAACTTTTGCCAAAGAACACGTATCTTGGTCTTCGGAACAGTGGCACAAGGTACTTTGGACAGACTGGTCTAAGTTTGGGCTGTTTAGTTTCAACCAACGTTAAAGAATCAATGGGAGGTTGCTGGAGTACCAACTATCAAGAATGCAGGAGGCTCTATAATTGTTTTGGGCACGATCTTTGTGAATGGTGTTGAATATTCTCACAGAATTAACTGAAAAATTGATCGGTATAAATGCTTCAGTATACTAGTACATCATAATGCACCCTCTGGAAAGAAGCTGATTGGGCAGAAGTTCACATTTCAAGAAGATAACGCCCAATAACGCACGTCCAAAGACTGTAGAACTTGTTTTGGCAATGGAAGAAAACTGTATAGATCTCCAGCGAATAGAAAGGCTGCCTCAAAGTCATCATGCTTGATGTAAGCATCAACTGTACTAAATGAAGCCTCAGGAAAAAACTTCAAAAGAATTAAATCATAGTACACAGAGACTTTAATGAAATCCATAGACACAATGCTACAAGTATGTCAAGCTGTTATTGATGGTCATACTAAATAATAGCATTCAAGAAACTTCAATATATTATTTGTAATAGTTTCCTGTAAGATTAATTTGCAGTAATTAAAAGTTAATTTCTATATCAAATCAAGGACTATTTTGAATGTAAGACTCATAAAATGGTAATTGTTGAGACTTATTATAAATGTACACGCAAAAGTACCCGTCCCCAGTGACGGTAAAAGTTTAAATTAATCTATCAATTTAAATTATTTCATGGGCTTTAAAATTATTAATTGTGTTGCACTCTTGGTTTCACTGAGAGCAATTCTCTGAACTACTTATACTGCCCATCACGAAAAGTAATTGTTGAGCATTTAAGTCATGCTAAGAGCCGCTCAACAATAACATAAGGTAAATCTACATTTAGACGAACGCTCGGACAAACACTGCGGTTCGCAATATATACAAGATGTATTTATATAATATACTATATTATATATTTATATATAACTTTCTACAACGGAAGAGTTCTTTGGCAGATCGAGCAGCACTGAATGGCTGTAACTTGATGGATCAGACTCAACCAGTGGTCAGTAATCTACAATGTGTTTTTTTTCACTACTTCGTGTATATAACTAACGGCCACCTAGTTACCTATTTGTGCTAAACCTTTGAATTGACCGTATTCAATTTTATTTTTTTTTTAAAATTGCGGCTTAATGTGGGTTTTAAGCAAAAATATTCAAAATGGGCTATCTGTACTCTGCCCACCACGGATATCGAAACTCGATTTCTAGAATAGTAAACCTGCAAACATACTGCTCAGCCACTGGGGGGTAGGATAAAAAACGGATAACCATTTCAGTTATTTTTGCTGTTAACCTAACTATGTGTGTTAACAGCGTTTAGTTACACATTAGCAATTTCATTGCAATGCCATTTAAAACTTAATTTGTTTTTGGGGGGAGCTCTTTGATTTGTCTAATGTGAAAATACAAAAATATGTTATTTGGTATTGATTATACTGTAACTTAAAGCACACAAAGTAAAGGTGTAAACCAATATTTTATTGTAAGTTTCTTTTAACTTGTTACTGTTCCCCCTCCCCCCCATAATTGGGAATATAAAATTGGTCATGTTGAAATATATTATCTTCTTTTAAGAGTTCGTAACAAGTGACCTGTCTACACTAAACAAAACAAATCTTATATATATATATAGTGCGAACCGGTCTGTCCGAGTGTCCGTCTGTCTCCCGTTTACAGCGGTCGCTACAAAAAGAGGTAAAACAAACTACAAGTTTTCACTGGAAGTTAGCACATCTAGCAGACATGGGCGTCCGCAGAGGGGTCACTTGCCCCCCCCCCTGGAAAATGAGAAACATAATTCATTCTTTATTCATTCAGCATATGTATATGAACTTTTTTATTTAATTCACAATTTCAAACTATTCTGCCCCCCTGGAAAAACTTATGCGGACGCCCATGCTAGCAGAGGCGATTTATTACCTTGTTATTAACGGGCTCTCTATTTTCTAACTAGATGGTTGTCCGCTGTTCCTTGTTTAATAACACAGGTTGACAGTATTTAAATCAAACTTTCAGATTCCACATGATAGAACATGTCCAGTTTTGTTATTCAGACCTCGCCCTTTTGTGTCTCGTGGCGTGCGTTATTTGAAATCCTTTATTAACAGAATATCTGATAATATCAGTCAGCCTGGAGTACAAGCATACGTGTAACTTTGATACTAACTTTACTCGTCATGGTAAAAACAATATCCATGTGTTGCATGAAATAGATGCCGAGCGTGCCGGACTTTAAACTCATATAACATGGTTTGCGTCCCGTTCCCGTCAAAACTCACTTCGCACTGAAAGGCTGTGGGCTCGTTATAAGAGTAACGAGAAGTCCCAGTATTTCATTAGAGTGGGCCAACAGTTGGAGGTGGGTGGTGTTGACTGGCTGCCTTCCCGTTAGTTTTTCAGTTCAAAATTAGGGACGGCTAGTGTAGATAACCCTTGTGTATTCAATGTTGCACAAAGCTATTCAAGGGTTATCTGCACTAGCCGTCCCTAACTTAGGAATGAGTGACTAGTCAACATCACCCACCGCCAACTCTTGATCTACTCTTTTATCAACGAATAGTGGGATTAACCATCACTTATAACGCTCCCGAGGCTGAAGGGGCAAGCATGTTCGGTGAAGGGGATCTGAATCCGTCGAGCGCCCTAACAACTGGGCCATACTAGGTCTGCGCCTTTTGTACAAGATAAAATGAACAGACAGAAAATTAGGGACTCTGTGCAAGATTGGATGTTTACACAATACAAAATAGTATGTACTTTTGCGCTTGTTTATGGAAGATATAAACCCCTGATAATATTTGAGAAATTGCTCATTTTTTGTGAAAGAATATAAAAATATTTAGGACAATTTTTTGGAGATTTTTAGTTTTATTTGAGGTACATTTCGGGAATTTAATACCAAGGCATAAGCGTTATGCAGCTCTTTTCTGAAGTAACTGAAATTGGAATTCTCAGCCTGAACGGTATCTTTTGTGCACGTGGGCTAAACGTCCAAACCAGAGACTTCTAGGCTTCAGATATAGGCGATTCTAATTTTAGTCTACTGTTTGACCAGAGGGAAGACAGCCAGTGCGCATAGCTCTATGCTATAACTGTTTTATCAGCCCTTTTCAACCAAATAATGAGATTGATTGTGTTACTTTTATAATGCACTCAGCAGCATAATGTCTTGAATTCTGAGCCCTTCAATCCAGTCGGACACGCTCATCACTAGGCCACGCCCTACCCTTATGGAGTAATAAGATGACATAAGTGTATTGGGGATTCGAATAAGAGATAACCAAACACTTATAAACCTGTAGACCTTTAATAAGTTAATTCTTATATCGAACATTATGAATATACCTCAAGTGTTCACCCTAGTCCAAGAGATGACTTGTAATGTGCAGTCAGGTGATGACCTAAAGAAAGAAGCATCGATCCGCATAGGAAAAGTCTTCTCTGACCAACACTTGATGTATACATATAAAACTATGCATCTACAATTCCAATGTCACATCGATTCTAACACATTGATGAGAAAACTAGGGAAGCAAAAAAAAAAAAGAAGTAGACAGTTGATTGAATTTTATTGGAAATAAAGGCCGATTGGGAATTAACTGGAAATATTTCAAAACCAACAAAAAAAATCAGAGAGCTAACTGCGCAACTCAAAAACGATACCAGAGAAAGGAACTGCAGAAATGTTGGCCAAGTGCCTAGATTGCCACCG